GGGGGCAGGCTTGTAGGGTATCCCCTTTGGTTGGTTCATGATGCATGGAGGGGATTGTAACCATAGCAATGAAACTATATATGATAGGATGAATGTAAAATTAATGTTCTCCCATGTAAACTACCACATAATTCACAATAAAACATTTATACATATATAAAAAAAGATTTACTTTCCATAGTGCTGAAGTTACCAATTTAGATATATCTTGGTTTTACCGATTCACAAATTATATTGCTATGAGTCAGAATTGACTAAATGGCACTTAACAATTTAAAATAAAAGCTCTTTATAAAAGTGTCTGTTGGCCTTACCAGACTTAACCTGGTGAGGCCAACAGGCCAACCAATCTACCTCAACCCAATCTCTTCTCAAGGTCTAGAAGCATGTTGTCTGTAACATAATTTATCCCTGAGGCCCAGAAAAGAGAAACAGGGCCCATGAGTTACAGTGTTTCTATGGCAGCCTTTTGGGCCAGTGTCTGCCATGGATGGGGGCAGGCACTGAATTTGACAGAGCTGCAGGGTTTTCACTTTTATGTTAAAATGTAAGAGCACATGCATGGTGACAACCTGGACATTGTCAATACTAAATATGTAGAGGATTTAACAGCTTATAAAGTCCTTTAACATAAATTATCATATTTGATCTAAAACTATAAGGCAGGTCTAAAGAACAATAAGAAATATACACATTAAAGAAAAAAAGTCTTAATCTGGCAAAACCGTAACTCGTTTAAACTGTAAGGACATTCAGTTGAGAAGTCTGGATAGGTCAGCAACCACCATGACCCAAATAAAAACTGGATTTGAAAAATAAACCTGTGTTTCCATGTAAATGGGAATGAGGATACAGGGGTTAAACGTTAAGTCTAATTCATCTAAACTGGATGCATTGAAAATTATAAAATTCAAGCTATACTGAGAAGTTTGAAATACATACCTTCTTTCTGCTAACATTTCATAAAAGTCTCTAATATCTTGACCAGATTTCTCCATGCAGTGATAAAATGCCAACTGACTTTCCCGATTTGCAAAATCCACCTTTAAAACAAAATAGCAGATCTTTGATATTTTGATATAAATTTCAGAATTTAATTTGCAAATTCTTCTCAATTTAATTTGCCAATTGTCCTTTTGCATGAATTTCAGGAGCGAGCTATCTATCTCAATTAAGTGTAACAGTCCTCATAAGTGAACCTGTATTTTTTGTTGACCTAAAATTCACTCTCAAGTTTGACCAAAATGTTGATAAAGAACTATAATCTAGAATTCTAGGAACCAATTCTGAAGGAAGGGAAAAAATAAAATGGAAAACTGAAATACCTACCAGGATTCTAGGTTGTCAACTAAATAACCACATCAACTAAATTCAACAATCCATATTGTACAACTTGCTTGAACAAAATATGGAAGAACACATAAGTTTACTAATAAGCTGGGCCTCAGAATCATTAAGGTAGATGATATCTATAACCTAAATATCTTATCATTTCATATCTAACTATCACAGTTATTAAGTGCATAAACTCCTTCAAACTACGATGAATACCAGGCTTTAAACAAATATGCCAGAGAGAAGATCATGCTTTCAGTGGTTGCCCACTCTTTAGAAGACAAGGAAAGAAGAGGAAGAGAAGAGTATTCAGGAAGTCAGATGGACAATTCAAGCTTCTTTGTGTACAAATCCCCACAGGTCACCATGGGCACCCTGCAATGAGCGCGTACAGGTGAGCAACAGGTACACAAAGCATAGAGAAGCACACTTCTTTGAATGAAAAGAGTTTTGGGAAAGGCTCTGCAGTTATGATTTAAAAGACCTTGTGCCCTCAACTAGTTGAGGATAAAAATCCTAATATTCCCTTTAAAAACTGAGGACATATAATGCAAATTCTATACACTACACTGGCAACCTGACTGGCAACCTGCAAATGCCAGTTGCATAGGGGTTAAGGTCAAAGTACAATTTTGTTGTGCTTCTGTTTAAAATCATTCTGCACACCTTAATTTTATTCCCACCGATTTTCCTCCCCTTGGTCTCTTTTACAGCTGTTTGTGCATATTCAATTTCACTGTAGAGAACGAGGGCCATGCCTTTTAAGCGGTCAAACACCACCTGTAAAAAACAAAAAAACAAAACAAAAACCAAATAAGAGCCTCATCCACTGGACTTAGTGTCAGTCCCAATAAAATCCTAAGTTTCAAGGATACCGCCAAGAAGAATATAAAATATACATATGTGTGTATTTAACTATCTCTCTATATACATATGCAAATTGAGAGCTACACACATATGCATACATATATTTGCTTTAATTCCAAAAATTTCTTCAGGCTTTTCTTGATGCACGCTGAGTGAAAAACACAATAAAAGGTGCAGGGACTGTTTAGAATTGTGGATAGTGTGGCTTGAGGCATTATTACGCCTCTATTTTGTTTTTCTGAGTTTTACTTTATTTTCCTTATTGACTGAGTACTGTACTGTATGTGTATCATTCTAATTTTGGCTTACAAGTAAATCAACACCTTTGAAAGAGAAATTTTTTTTTTTTAAGATACTGAACCAACAAAGAATTGCACTGAATTTTGGGTCCAAGTAATACTGAAGATGTATATTTCTCAAAACAACAAAAGCTACATTTAAAGAAATGTAAAAATTATGTAACATACTCATCAGAGTTAATTTGCTTTTAATGAGTTAAAAAAGTTTTACTTTCAACCAATGAAATGGTGTTCAGATATCCTTTTCCTCTTACAGTTGTATGTATGCTACATAAAGAACATTGGTTAATCTTTTGTAGTGTGAGTTTCTTTATAAAGTCATTGTGTGTGTGTGTGTGTGTGTGTATATATGCAAATATATACATATATATACATACATACATACATATATATAAATATATATAATAATCAAGTCTTATTACGTATTAGTATGAATATGAATTAGAATGGCTACTTCTAATGAGAGGAGAATTATAAAAGTCTTAAAGAAACATTCTATTCAATTGTAAATTAGTTTAAATATTAGTCATCTTAGCTAGCTCAAAATAGTTTTCCAAAACACTCATACAAGCTAACAAATGCAAGTGCCCTATATACTAAATTTTGGTGATAAAATATGAGCTATTGAATAAAAGGAAAAGGCAGCACTAGGAATTAGGATTAAAAGGACAGAATACAAAGAAAATAAGAATCAGAAGTAACTTAGAACCAAATCCTCCAACCTACCTTTACCACGGATCCATATCGGCAGAAATGTCGTGTTAAATACTGATCCGACACGTTTGAAGAAAGCCCATCTAACCACACGCAGTTTGTAGGCATGCTCTTTCCAAAACCCAGCTGAACATAAAAGGTGAAATTTCTGTTAGTAAAGTTCACAAGATCAGCAATTCAAACCCAACAGGTGCTCCTGCAGGAGAAAGATGAGGTGGTGTGCTCCTGTAAATACAGGCTTACAGCCTCGGAAACCCTAGCCAGGGCTGCTACTGAGACAAAATTGGACTTGATGGCACTGGGTAAAGTCCACAATACTATTCAACTTCAGAGTTCTATGAAAACCAGTCTTCTGTAGGAATTTTATCAAACCAACTTCTCAAGTGGAAAATCAAATAAAATTTATAAAAAAGAAAACCTCCTGTCTGGCTAACCAACTATATAATAAACTAGGATGAGGAAACAAAAAAAAAGTGCATATCTTATATGGTTATCTAACTATATTATTACAATTTTAGATATCAGACATACAGCAGACATGTACACACAAACCCATATTAAAGCAGATCATTACAGCACAATAATTTATCCACCTTCCTTTACCTTGAGGCGGTTATTTCCAAGGTACTCCCCATCCATCTTCTTGATAGCCTTACAAACGCTGGCAATATCACAGTATTGTAAGAATGCATACTGAGGAACTCCATTGACTTTCTTAATATCAATATCCTGAAAAAGTCAAACAATACCACTTAGTGATGAATCAAAACGAAGTGTTCATTCCTCAAAAAACCATATTCTCAATTATCATTTTCTTAGTTAAAAATATATTTTAATGCAACTGTAAATGAGTCTGAAAAACTGTACAATGAAACATCTGTAGTCACAAACTATGAACTCCTTTCCATGCGAGGTTCTTTGCAGAAGAGAAATGCAATGAAACTAAAAATTCAAAACTTTTAATCCAATGAAACTAAAAATTCAAAACTTTTAATCCTTAATATCAGCATTAAGAGAAACAAAAAAAAGGTTGTCGACTTAATGAAAACTTAAGAAATAATTCACTTCTGCAACACCTAAATCATTCAGTAGAGACAAGGCCATGCCATTTAAAATCTGAGAGAAGAGTAAGAAAGATAAAGATATCAGGCTTTCAAAAAGCTATCTAAAACATGCAATACTAAATTAGAAGATTCATTATTCTATTGGTATATTCAACTGAACCAAGTCTGGTGACCTGGAGTTAGAAAACTAAAAGGGAATAACATGCTCAACATTTCTCACGCTGTAAGAACTAAAGAAAAAAATTTCAGCCTCAAGTTGAAATACTGAATGATGCAGAAAGCATAAAGGAAGATGGAAGGAATATACAGAATCACTGTACCAA